ACGACAAAGAACTCATTCCATCTACTTTTTCTGCAGACTGGTGGATCCGAGAATGGACTAGGGCATATGTGGAATTGGGTGATTTGATTCGCGAATTTGCTTCGTCAATGTCATCTATTATTTCTTCGTGGAATGTTAACTCCTTCGTATCAGACAATGATTTCACGGGAAAGATTTTGTCGCTACCACAAATTGCATCCTCCTTGTCACCTTTTAGTCACCACCCTTCGTCGCACAATACGAGAGTTTATAGTCCGTCAGTCAATGTAGATTATTATATTGGGATATATATTTTGATCGGATTTCTCACCACGACTTTAGCGTCGATCAGATCGTATTATATGTTCATGGGTTCTTTGAAGGCATCCAGGAAATTGCACAGCGCCATACTGGACAAAGTGTTATCCTCCAAAATCAGATTTTTTGACACGACACCGATGGGTAACTTTTTTAAGAAAATTTTATTGATATTTGATATTCTCGGCCTGAGGTGTAACCGATTGTTCCTATCGTAAATTTTAAGGTCGAATATTGAACCGCTTTTCAAAAGATATGGAGACGATCGATCAGAACCTATCTCCCGTGGCAATGTTCCTTCTTTATTCCTGCGTTGCCACCGCATCTGTAATTGTTGTCATCTCCTTTGTAATGCCACAATTTTTGATAGCCGGATTCTTCATTGCTTCCCTATATATATTCATCGGTGCATATTACATTGCTACTTCCCGCGATCTGAAACGTAAGAGTTGAATTTCAACTTTAGACTGTAAGTAACGATGATTTTTATATTTAATGATGATATCATGTTAAATTTTTAGGACTGGAATCCTTGTCCAGATCGCCTATATATGCTGTATTCGGTGAGGTAGGGAGTATTTCATTGTTTAGAAGTCCTTTTATTTATGCCTCATAAGAAATTGACTTTTATTGATTTTTGCTAATTCAAGACAATCATTGGGGTGTCTACCATACGCGCGTTCGGAGCCGAGAGGAGGCTGATGAAAAGGATGATGAAACTGGTTGATGGAAACAATAGACCGTTCATTTTCAATTGGGCGTGTAATCGTTGGCTTCATACTCGTGTGGATGTTGCCGGAGGGCTTGTAAGTTTGGCCACGGGCGTCATAGTCCTCTACAGACTTTCGAAAGGGATGGATCCAGGATTAGCAGGTTTTGCCCTCATTTACGCCTTAAATTTCACAGGGCATGTGATTTGGGTGCTTCGAATGTATGCCGTGCAAGAGATGAATATGAATTCCGGTTGGCGTCACATACATAAATTTTATAATTCTTTTATACATATACATATTAATCGATGAACGTTTCGCGTGTAGTCGAAAGGGTTCAGGAATATTTAGCATTAGAAGAGGAACCTCCCAGAATCATTGATAGCAATCGACCACCACCTAATTGGCCATCCAAAGGAGATATTCTGGTGGACAATCTCGTGATGCAGTATGCGCCGGAAGGTCCACCAGTACTGAAAGGTATTTCATTCCATGTTCATCCTTCAGAGAAGATTGGGATCGTTGGAAGAACAGGTAGGAGCTTTTGCGTTAAAAAACTGAATTCAAATTGTTATCATTGTTTTGCCGTCCAAATGAAATGTATCATCTATTTGCTATCAGGATCAGGGAAATCTACACTGGCCATGTCATTCTTTAGGCTCATGGAAGCGACATCTGGTCGCACTATCATTGATGATATAGACATTTCGACTCTTGGTCTCTTCGACTTGCGAGGTCGACTCACTATTATACCTCAAGACCCCGTACTCTTCAGTGGAACTCTAAGGTTAGAGGATTTTCACGTTTTGCTTGAATTCTACGTTTATAAGTCTCACGAATCAAACATATTTTCAGGAGTAACTTGGATTCTTTTGGGGAGTACGATGATGCCGAATTATGGAATGCACTTCGAAGAGCTCACCTAATTGATGATCCTTCGGCTCAGGAAAATGATTCTGATGATTCCACGCTAAGCGAACAATCACAAAATCAGATCACATTGAATCTAGATTCCCCGGTTAGCGAAAATGGACATAACTTTTCTCAGGGTCAAAGACAGCTTATCGCACTTGCGAGAGCGTTGGTACGTAAATCCAAATTAATAATAATGGACGAAGCAACGGCGAGCGTGGACTTCAAAACGGATCGAATGATTCAAGAAACGATACGTCAAGAATTTGATGATGCTACCTTATTGTGCATTGCACATCGCTTAAGAACGGTGGTGGACTATGATCGAATTATGGTATTAGGTAATTGATTGTCTATTTCATCGGTTAGCGTTTTACCTCGTCCCCTGTAAGTTCCTTGTTGATACCAACCATCATTCATTATAGACTCTGGGAAAATAATAGAATTCGATCATCCCCATTTACTCATACAAAATACACAAACGATATTTCGGGAAATGTGCGAACGCAGCGGGGAATTCGAGGAGCTAATGGAAATTG